AAGGGATAAAGCATTAGGGTACCTATACTCAATTAATTATTTTAACTACGTTTTTTCAAATCATTAAATCATTAGACTGTGTATTAGACTATGAAAACTTGCATTAGAAAATCAAACACCAATACTACTTATGAGAAATAGTTTATTAAGAATAAGACACATGAGATATTCCTATTAAATATGCACTACCTATGGGATGCTCTATATCTGCTTCTATATTCTTGAAGAGCACAATTTCTCGATGCCAAAACTATATAGTTTGTCTATATTTGGTTGAGCCGGCTCCAACATATTTGGTTCTAAAAATTTTAAAAATACTATCAGAGAAACCAAGTATCTACCTCAAATTTTACCTGCAGCTTTCACATGTACAGAGAATGATTCATAAAATCAGCATCGTAGGATAGTATTTTTACAATTTTTGGAGCCGAATATTTGAGAGACTGTTCAATCAAATTTAGACAAACTATATATTTTTGGAATCGGGGCATTATTCTCTTCAAGAATATAGAATGAAATATAGGGCATCTCATTTGAAAAAAGCTAGAAGCATGCAAAATTTCACATTTCTGACATTCAAATTTTGTTTTTGACCATGGTTTCAACATATTGATTAATAAATGGGTGCGGAACTCGCTGCGCTCGTCCCGCAGAGGTCCACCCATGGGTTCCACAACAATTCACTCATTTGTACTTGAATAACTTTTCACAATATATTACTAGTTTGGTAAAGTAACATTACTAACAAAAAAAAAATTTATTAAACAGAATATTTTTAATTTGTCATGAGAAAACCTGAAAAATACTTCGGAGTATCAGATCGATTTCAAGCTTACAGGATTTATTAACCAGGATATTTTCTTCAAACAAGGAAAATTTGAAGTAAATCTGAAGCTCAGAAATAAAATTATGAGGTTTTTTCCAACTTAATACCAAAAAAAATTGGAAAATTCATGTTAAATCACCTTTGAAAAATCCTGAAAAATACTTCGGGGTATCAGATCTACTTGAAACTTTGAATTCTGAGTTTTCTGTTCTAGAATCGGTTTCCAGATCAGATCTGAACAGGTTCTACGGATATTGAAAGAATCATAAGTTTCATTTTTGAAGTTTACGACTAGTTTCAAATTTGTTCTAAATGTGATCCATGAATATAACTTCGTTAGCTATTCGATTCAGAACTGATTCGGAACAGTTTGAATCCACAATTTGAATTATATCTTTCGAGGATCATTGAATTCTGATGAGTTTTCTGAACTGGTTCTAAATGTGATCCGTGAATAAAACTTTGTTAGATTCAGAACTGATTCGGAACAGTTTAGATCCACAATTTGATTTACATCTTTCGAGGTTCATTGAATTCTGATGAATTTTTTGTTCCAGTTCTAGAATCGGCTTCTGGATCAGATCTAAACAAGTCCTACGAATATTGAAATAATCATAAGTTTTATGTTTAAAGTCTACGAATTCTAAACTAGTTTCAAATTGGTTCTAAATGTGATCCGTGAATTTGAAAAAAGCCATCTACTCACGAATATACTGCTGAACTATTCAAGTAGGACATTCACCTGAACCATGTAGTTTTTAAACTAATGAGAATAACTCACATTTGAGTGAGTCAGGTCAATATCGTAATTAAACAACATATTGATGAATAGATGGCTGAGGTCCACCCATAAGTTCCGCAACAATTCACTCATTTGTACTTGGATAACTTGTCACAATATATTACTAGTTTGGTGGAGTAACTACATTAGGTACTAATTCCTGTTGAGAGGCAAATTGACAAAAAGTGGATAATCTCACAAATTCTGATTTTATATAATAAGTTATTGTTCAAGTACAAAGTGTTTTTTTATATATTGACACCCTACCCGCCTTTACCTTTACAGGTAGATGAAAGGTGTAAATACAAAAGTTGTACAGTATTGGCTAAAGTTTTAGAATCCATGATCTAAAACAAAAATTGAATGTCAGAAATGTGAAATGTTGAATATTTTCAGCTTTTTTCAAATGGGTACTTATGCAGTAGTCTAGTCTTACATAAAAAGAGGTAAAACAGGCTGCAGTTAGTTGTACAACATAACGCTATGTGACCAATTGACTAACCAACAACAACGCATGCCTTTACACAACTGGCAAGATAAGAGGCAAATGAACAAGACAACAAGATACAACACAAATACGCACGAAGGCCGGGGATTCCCCAGTTAGGTTGAGTGCAGCGCCTGCACTGCGCACGTTTGATTGTTTCAATACAAATCACACCGGACTGATCAGAGTAATCGGGCAGACGTCATTCAGAGGACACTCCTAGAAGTCCTAGCTCAAAGGTCGCGTATGAAATTATTGCTGTGACATTCTCATACAAGATTTTAATTTAAAAAATTTCATAAAAAACAGTTAAATAATGACAACGGCTTTTATCAGTAGAATTTACATTGATATCAGTGTATCAGTAGACCAATGGCCAAATCAGTAGAGCTACTGATAAATCAGTAGACCTGGCAACACTGTTTAGGATAATAAATTAATGAATAGTGGGGATTCGGCCCAACGGCCAATTTTTATTTTTTCAGAAGCACACAAAAAATGTTAATTTGAGAAGAACAAAGCCAGTAAATTGTTTTTTATTTATCCAATGGCAACTTTGACAGTGAATATCTTGAGAACTAATCATTCGATCTTCAAAAAAAAAAATACGCAGTTGTGACGAGAATCAAAATACCTCTAAAATAAGGTACCACTCGCCTCATCTTCCCTAAAAAAGTGGGGTGAAAGACTTTCACCGAAATACCGATGGGGTCAAAAAGTTTCCCCCGTGAATACAAAAATGACGTGTCCGAGCGTTTTCATTTAAATCGACCTTAAAATACCTTAAAACGCTTCGATTTCGACGTCCGTGAAACAACCTGTATGCTTCCGGGCCTGTTGGACCGGCCCGGAAGCAAGCGACCCTTCGGGAAACTTCCCAAAATCCCTGTTGGCCCATCCGCTCCTGAGTAGATTGCCTATAACGTAGACGCTTTTTTGCCAGTTGCTAAAATGACATTTTCGGTTATTTTAAGGACGTTTTCCCTTTCACACCAATTCTCTAATTGTTTAAATGCATTTATATATAGTTTCTTAGATTTCTCCGGCAACAAGTTCTGGTTCGCACATTTTGCAGCTTCCCTGACCTCAGGAAGGGTAGAATCTATCTCCATATCTAATTAATTACTCTCCATTTTAGCTTATTATCTTTTTACTGAAAGTTTACGATTATTTTCTTGAATTTGTAAGTAAGCTGAAAACTTGCAAGAAAATTAATCAAACTTTTTGTGATTTGTGAATAGTTTGACATTTCATATCGCGCCAACCTACAATTGCCCTCTGTCAACAAATTATGGTAATTTCCTATATACATACAGAAACCTTCTTTTTTTTAAATTGGCAGTTTGAAATTGAATTTAAACCAATAGAAACCTATTAAGTTATGACAATATCCTTGCGTCATGACGTCATTTTTATTATTGACCTGGGCTTTTTTTTCATTATTTTCATTATTAACCTAGGGAGAGAAATTCAAATAGATTGAATGATGACTACTTCTCAGGTTAGTAGTAAAAAAAAGTCTTTATATATGCTCAGTTTCTATATACAAATGTTAATTTCACGAGTGCGAAAACCAAATTTCTGCATTAAACCTTAGAAGACACTTCAAATTATAGTGCATTTCAAGCGAATCGCTAATCAGTATTTATTGTTCGACTGTTAGAGAAATTGTAACGGTCTTACTTGCTTAATCCGGTTCATGCAGATAAAATCCACAAGGCGATTCTTTCTCCATTTATCACTATTTACACTGGCAGCTAGGGAATTTTCCACTGAGATGAAAACTTGAAAACACAACGATATACAGGCGCGTTGGAGCCCGGCGACAGTGAAAGAGAGAGCCAAAAGGAATCGCGTAGGAGGGAATTTTGTTCGTCCGAGGTGACTTGCAACAATTAAAGGTCAATTACATGAATTGTAATCAATAACATGGACCATGTCAGGCCTTGAGACACAGAGAGTAGTATTTTCACTATAAATCGCGCGTACTAACGGGGGTTTTTGGGGGTTTTGCTTCTGGAGAGCATCAGGGGGCGCGAACTATTCGCTTATTCTAATGTTACTGAAGAATGTACGTCAACTAGACTCTGCCAGGGGAGCAGGTCGCAAAAACTAGGGATGTTGTGTGGCGGCTGCCCAATCACAGCGGTCAGACAGGTTCACTACCTTATAAGGTAATGAAGAAACCTGCAATTTTACCGGTTCAAAGGGTTGTTGTTGCCGGTTTTACAGGATAAATAGTCCAGCAATAGCTATTTTTAGAATATTATTTTTATGGTAAATAATAGAAATTGATATATATATATATATTAAATTAGAAATAATAAAATTAAACCTGTTGTGGATTATTTTCGCAACAAGGTTTATCACGAGAAAAAATGGTCAGATCCGGGCTAACCGGAGGCAGTGTTACGAAAATGCATTGATGGCCTGGCCTGGATTCCATGAAATTGGTACTCTTTTACGTCGGGCAGCGCGCCGTTTCTGGGAATTCTATTATATTTGATTTGATGTTTTTCTAGCGCGTAGAAATAAGTTTAGTTTTAGCTTTAGGAAACCGGAATATGTGAAAATATTATGATCCCTAAGTAGAGTGCAGTCCTAAAAAACTATTCCCACAATTTTATTTGTGAGATGCTTCCTCTTACTAATCTTTGATTAATTTTGCTAGATGGGTCTATTTTTCGTAATGATTTTTAACCGAGAAAAAATTTAAGTCAAACCTGAATATCAAGAAACGTACAAAAAATATTGGAAAGAAAAAGAATAATTTGAAAGGAGAGTATTTATTACACTAAATATAACCAAAGGAACTAGCCAAATTTTGATATTTTTATTGTTGAAAAGTATCATTATTTAATAAAATATTTATAGCTGTTACTTGATAAAATAATAAGTATAAGCATGAAGTAGGACCCAGGCGTATTTTTTTTTGGTTGCCCAAAAGTTAAGAAGCTGGTTTCGATGGAGACAACAATTCCTAAACTAAACCAAAAAATTCAGTCAGTCAGCAACAAAGAACAACTACCTATACCTCAATAAAGCATTCAATAGGTGCTATAAGTTTCGATATGAGTGGTTATTTTTTCACCATTCGGTCCATATTGCACCGTAGACTGTTGATCAACATTCTACAACAAACTTTGTATAAAAAAAAAATAATCAAAATGTATACTTTTTGAACCTGTGGTCTCCCATGTAAAATATTCGTGCCAGTGCCATAACCATTTTGATATTGGTATCCTGGATAGGGTCGGTATTGCGCTATTGTTATAGCCTAAATGCAATAATTAGATAAGAACTTGAACTAGGTACTTGGATATATCTACCTACTTACCGTTAACCAAACTATAAGAAAGATTATCAAAACAAAATTCATCCTTGTGAGAATACCTATCTACTAAGCTGTCTAAGAGGATGAATAAACTTATAATAAAAATACAAGCAATGGAAAAATGAATGCAACTTTAATTTGATTGCATGCATAAAATTACTTCATTATTGGAAATAATAGCCAAAAAAACATGTCACCTATAATAATTGCCTTTATTCCAATTATATGAATTCCTGTATTACATATTTTAATATTAATTAGATATATTTTAGCACATAAAAAATATAATTTCAAAATTTAATTATGGTTAGTTTTGATATAAAAAGGACTCCTGATTTGGAGAATTTTTGAACAATTCACCATGAAGACATTTTTTATTGTGTTGGTTATTGCCGCTGCTTTGATGGTAAGTTTGAGATACCTATCCTTTACAATATTTGCCTATTTATTTAATATTAAATATTGAATTTAGATCTACATTCTTAGTATTATCATAGAATTCGATGCCTTGGTAGAATATCTTGTTTTAATTTTTTATTTCTTATTTTTTAAAAGGTGCTCCAAAAGTGTGTTATATCTATGTAGAAATTACGATGAGAAATTATATATTTGGCTTGCCTATATATCATCAATTTTTTCTTTTATTTTTTAGTTGTTTGGTTTTTCAAGGATTTCTTTTTTTATGTACATTGACTTTGGTGTAGAATAGTTTTCATAATTTTTTTGGAATGTCCTAAGTTTATGCTTCTTTTCGATTGTTAATTATAATTTTTTGTGTTTGCCCCAAGGTTTCTCATTGATTCTGATTTTGTAAACATGCATTGTTTATGTGTTACTGATTTTGGAATAATTTTTATTATAATTCTATACATATTTCTAGTTAAATTTTAATTTTCTCGCAATATTTTCCATTTGCACCATTATCACTTTTATCAAATTCTTTTTCAAGGATTAAGATCAGGGCCGCTGCTAGAGGGTGTTAGCCGTCTGTGTGCCCAAACATCTGTTGGGACGTCACAAAGGCATCGGCGCTTGACAATAATAGTTTATAATCCTTGGTTTGTACGTCAATCGTTCGTCGGCTGTCATTGTTATTGGCTGTCTCTCTCCGTCCCTCTACGTTATTTTTTTTTCTCTCTCGTATAACGAAATTTGCCAAAGCGTGACGCATCTTTCAGATCACTCTCCATTCTCGTCCAAATATCAGACCACCGCCTAAGAAGTTTCACTTCAAAAAATTGAGTTTTCAAAAGGGTACCCTCTTTGAATTCTGATTTGAAAATCTTTAAACTTCGATTGCTCGGTAACCGTTGAGCAAATTGCATTGAAATTTTCAGCATTTCTAGCTATTATTAAGCTCTAAATGGCCTGTAACTAATAAAATTCCCAGATTTATACAATCTCAATTTTGCACAGATTTATAGAATTTGATGCTCTTTCCAAGTATAATTTATTTCAATTTGTTGGAAACTTAACAAAGATATGGGCAATTGTTCATGATCATATCAAGATTTTGAAAATTTTCCAGAGTCAAAAATAGGTTTTTTTTTTCTTTTTGTTCCTGCTTAAAATGACCATTTGGAATTGATGACAGGGTTGTTTTCCACTAATTCTCACCTCTGACCTGTCCTATTGATTAATAAAGTCAAAATTCAGCAAAACTGGAAAATAGAAAATCGAGTTTTTCAAAATGATACCCCCTTTGAATTCTGATTTTAAAATATTCATACCGCAAATGCTCGGTAACCGTTGAGCAAATTGCATTGAAATTTTCAGAGCTTATTAAAAGCTTTTTGCGCTCCTCCAGAATCCTCTATGACACAACGTCAACTAAAGGCATTGGGGCTGCTCTGTCCATAGAAGCTAGTAACATGGACAAATCTGAATTCTGAATTAGTTAGGCCAGTTAGGGCATTTGCCTACCACAAGGTCCGCAGAAAGGATTTTTAGGTTTTGGTCTTTTATTTGCTTTTATTTTATTGTCACAACTGCTCGCTTTACGATGGTGACCTGGGGGGTTTGTAGCTTTGGGGGTTGGAGAGAAACTTGCTCAAGTTATATAAAATGATGTTGATATATATTTTCCAAATATACCCTTACATATACACTAGTCCTATGATGCATGACCCTTCGAACACTGGGGTCCTTATAGAGAGCCACACGTCAACGCTGCTTGGGGGACTGTAAATAAGTTTTCGTCACCCTTATGCCTTGTCCAGAGGGGCTTTCCCAACGAGAGGTAATTGCACTGGACAACGATAAGGCTGAAGATACCCCGAGGGGCTTTCCCAACGAGAGGTACTTGCACTGGGGAGACTTAATTCCAGAGGGGCTTTTCCAACGAGAGGTACTTGCACTGGTTTAAGTCTGCCTTTGCTACGGCTTGCAGCGCAATTTATATCAATTTATTGCTGAATTGTGATAAACATCCGATCGAATCGTGCCTAATTATAAAATATCCCTGCTTAACAATTATATAATCCAAATATCGCGTATAGAAAAAAATTAAAAATTAAAATTAACAAAAGTTCTTTTTTGTGGTGGGATGGGTCAGGGTGCATTATTATTCAGGTTACTACAAAAAAAAATATATATATCTTACAACTAAGAAATTTCATCAACTTTACCGCTTCAGCCATGGGTTTTTTTCTTTTGGTCCAGTCCTGTTTTCTGTATTGTGGGTCTGTTCTGATTCCAAATACTTCTTGGTAGGTCAGCTCTAGATCGTGGGGTGTTAACGGTCCCACGGTCCAAGTGTCGTTTCCTGGTTTGTTTTACTTCTTTCTCGTTCATTGTGCTGTATTCTGTTTTTCAAGTGGATTGGTTCTGGCTCCAAGTACTTCCTGGTGATTTGGTCATCTGGGTCGTGGGTTTGCGCGGTTCCACGGCCCAAGTAATCCTTGATCATTTCTTTTGTGAGTGTGGTGGAAATGGTACTGTGGTCTGTCTACTTTTGGTCCATACCCATTTGTTTCTTCTGGTTTGAAGTTCCTACCCCTGCTCAGTCCAGAGCTAGGTCCTTCTACTACAATGCCTTCCCTCGAATTTGTTTTGTAGTCCGTCCCTGGTTGGTAGTTTTGTATATACATGCAAAAAATAAAATAAAATTTAAAAAAAAAATGTGCTTATTCCTATAATAACATAGTTTAATTATGACCCACATTCGGGCCACCAAATTTCATCATTTGGTTATTTGTTGATCATCGCTGCAACAGGTAAGCTTAGTCCAACTTGTTTTTTGTATATCCATATACCCTATTTTTGCAGCTTGTATTTTTCTAAGATCCCTTCGGCGGCTTCTTCCGTCGATAAGAATGTTTCTGATTCTTCTTCTTTTATAGTATTTCATATTCTCTATCTTCCCTTAGAATTATGAGGTCATCCACTAGTTTCCTCTTATATTGAGCTGTCATTTCTCTCCATCCCTTCTTGTTTACTCTATTTAATGTCTTACTCTATTTTTTCATTCTATCTCTACTTCCTATTTCCCTACTTCATAGTTTTGCTTATGTTTTATCTGTACAATCAGTCTTCTTCTTCCTCGTTTTCTGCTTCACTGCTTTCAATTTCTTCTTCAATTTTTTCTTCGTCGTCTTCATTTTCATCAACTTTATATTCTGCGTTTTCAGCTATATCTGTCTCATTTATTTAATGTCTTTTTCAATCCTAAAATTTTTTGCTCTTCTTCTGATGCCAATATTAATTTCTAGGTCGTCTGGGTTTCTTATAGCTTTGAATATTTGTTTTAGACTTGTGTCTTTTTCCTGTAATGTAGCCGTTTGCACTGATTTTAGTGTAAATGTGGGGAGCTCCTCTTGCTCTTTTTTTCCTGGGATTCTGGTTGAAGCACTGGATTGCGGGACATACAGTCGGCGTCGTTATCTGTTGAGCCTTTTTTATATACAACCGTGTAATCGAATTCTGCAAGTTTTAGTGCCCACCTGGCCAAGCGTCTGTTACTTTCTTTAATGGAGTCCATTCAGCAAAGAGCATGGTGGTCAGTGACGATTTTTACTGGTCTTCCGTAAATTAAGTGTCTCAGATAGCTCAATGCCCACAATACGCCTAAGAGTTCTAATTCACAAATTGAATAGTTCTTTTCGCTATTTGAAAGACTTCTGCTTCTGTAGGCTAGCAGAGACCCCGAAAGAGCCAGAGCATTATCGCCCTATCAATATGCTTCCGGCAGTAGAAAAATTAATTGAGCTGGTTGTCTATGAACAGTTATTAGAATATTGTACAGAACATAAAATTATAAATAAATATCAATCTGGTTTTAGAAAATTTCATTCATGGGAGTCTGTTATACAGTTATTACTGCATACATGGAAGCATATGAAGGATGATGGTGAGACTAGTGGGATTGTGTTTTTGGACTTAAAGAGGGCGTTTGAGACAGTTTGTAGAGAGAGGCTCTTATTGAAGTTGAGGAGAATGGGAATTGGTGGAATGGTTTTATCATTTTTTGAATCTTATTTATTGAATAGATATCAAATAGTAAAGTGTAACAATGTTTGCTCTGAAAAACGTGAAACTGTGTATGGCGTCCCTCAAGGAAGTGTCCTTGGACCGCTGCTTTTTGCTTTGTACATTAAAGACATAACATCAAGCATGGATCTTTGTCAGATTCACCAGTTCGCAGATGATACTGTTATATTTTTCAGTTCTGATTCGCACCAAATGCTTTCCAGAACCCTCAATAGGGAATTGAAGTCTGTTTATGCTTGGTTATGTGTAAATAAATTAAAGCTTAACCTATCTAAGTCAAAATGTTTAATAGTTGGTAGAACAAAAACAGATAGGGAAATCTTTGTTAATAATTTTAGAATTCAAATGAATAACGAGAATATTGAATATGTGGACAAAATAAAATATCTTGGTTTTATTTTAAATAATCAATTAAGTTTAAATGATCATTTTGAATATATAATTGGTAAAAAGATTGGTTTTTTGTGTCGTTTGAGGTACAGACTATCATTGCATACAAAGAGGTTAATATTTAATAGTATAATAAAGCCACATTTTGATTACTGTGGATCCTTGCTTTTTTTGGAAATAAGACTGATGTGGATAAATTACA